TTTAGGGGTTTAGGGGTTTATTGTTTAGGGCTTAGGGTTTAGGGTTTAGGGTGTAAGATTTGGGACCCTCATCCCCGAACCCAAAAGGCTTAAACCCCAAAACCCTAAACCCCAAAGCCCTAAACCCCAAAACCCCAAAGCCCAAAGCTCCAAGACCCTGAACCCTTAACCCTAAACCACCTAATCCCTCAGGGCCTTTAGTTGGGAGCTAGGATTAGGGGGACCCTTGGGGATATAGACCCTCTCAATAAGGTTCCTTTTAAGAGAGCCGAAAGTAGGGTTCAGAAGGGATACCGTTTAAGGGGTACCCCTATTAATATGCATAATACTACCTATTGGTGCCTTAGGATTGAAGACGCTTCCGGCAACCAGGCCAAGGGCAGTTTCAAGCGGTCCGGACTTGGTATAACTTGTTCGGGGTTCAGGGTTTAGGGTTGGGGTTTCAGGCAAGACGGGTTGAAGAGTATAGTGCTCCTATATGGCTTTAGGGGTGCATAGCGTTCTGGGTTCTATATTGTCTCGTGTAGGGTTTCTGTAGGCTTTTGTATTGCTCTTCTTGCAAGGTTCACGGTATACGGCCTTGTGGCGACAAACAAGTGAATCAACAAAGCCTTTTAGATAGATAGACAGATAGACCGATAGATACGTATTGCTTCTGTATGCACAGCCTTACGCCGAAAGTGATGCTGTAGCCTTTATGAAACGTCCCAAGCACTAGACCCGAATCTGCTGGAGGGTGCTCCCGGCGTTCAAAGACCTGTATTAAGAAAAGGCTTTATAGAGTTTAGAGATTTAGGGTTTAGGGTTTAGGGTGCAGAGGTTTGGCATTTGGGGTTTATTTCGGCTGGTGGTTGGGGGCTTAGGGTGTAGAGCGCATGAACCCTACATTGAGACTACACGCTTGTTCGCAATGTGCATGGGTTTGCGATTATTTGTCAAGCGGTAGATGGGCCTTCGGATTGTCGCCGTCTGCTTTGGCAACTACAGAGCCCCGGTCCCATGAAGCTGCAGACTCCATCCTAAATGCATAAAGTAGGGGCCTTAATAGTTAGAATAGGGGTTTTGGGATTCATTATAGTAGAGTTGTAACAAGGAAGGCCAAGGAATAAGATTGGTAATTATTGAGGCTTCTGCATTAAGGCCCCAACTCTAAACCCCAAACCCTCATCTCGGAACCCGCAGCGCCAAGTCGGCCTACGCCCTTAAACCCTCAACTCTACAACCCGACAAATCTCGTCAAAAAAGGGGCTAAATAATCACAAGTATACTATTTTTGGGGGGTTCCTTATCAGAGTGATACTATAATATACCCCCCAAATTCGTTTTCTAATCTATATTACCACTTGCGGCCTGGTCAGATTGTATTTGCCACCACCAACGGCAGCATCATGTTCTGGGACTACAAGGTGGGCATAGGGGCTCATACGTTTCCCATCATGGTGGCTACCAGCATTTAGAATGTAAATGCGTCTCCCTGTTTTTAACTAGTTGGAATGAGTGTTCTGGTTGTAGCGAGTAAGTTTTGCTGTTGTCAGTGGCACTATGACCATTGCTTTGGTAATTTGTTAGTGTCGCTGTTGTTGATCTTATCTTAGGTTCTGAGTAAGTAACCTTTAACCTTCTGAGGGGGTGTAACCAGCTAGAAACTATAATTTTTTTTTGGGGCTAGGATGCTCAGCCCCTAAGTGATTGCCTGTCTATCAGTGCTGTCCCACTGTTGTTTATTCAGTCGTAATTATTGGCATTATGGCCATTGCTTTCATAATGAGTGCTGTCATTGCCTTTGTTGTTTTTCCTGTCAGTACTCTCCCTAAACCCGAAACCCTGAACCCTAAGCTTTAAACCCTATATAAACCCTCGAACCCAAAACCTTACGCTTTGAAGGAGTCCTGGGGGGGAAAGGCGCCTAGGTACTTGGGATTAGGGTTTAGGCTTTCGGATTCAGAGTTTACGGTATAGAGTTCAGGTTTCGAGTTTAGGGCTTAGGTTCTTGGGTTTAGAGTTGTGCAGGGGGATGGTCATGATTCTGACACCGTCGGAGATAGGAGTTTTGCCTGGCTTCAGGGTGTAATGTAGGGGCCTCAATAATTGGCAATACTATTTCGGCCGCTCCTTTGTATAATTTTAGTATGGTGTATATTCTATTTATTAAGGCCCCTATGTTAGGGGCAGTCAGTGCTTAGGGGGAGGGGAATATAGGAGGTTATCCTCTGGCTCGTTCCGCGATTCTGCGGATGTTTGTTAAACTTGTTAAAGATGCAAATTTCGTCAGGCTGCATTTTGACTCGTTTGATCGTTCATGCAGCAAAGAAGGCAGCCTTTGAGAGTGGCTGAATTCTGAATTGAGCCTAGGTCCTTTCTAAACCCTAAACCCTATACCGGATGACCGTCAGCCGCGCAAGCTGCGATAGAAGCGCGCAACAATCACCGATGCATCGTCAGAAATGCAGATTTTCCAGGACACATCCACTAGCTCACACGCAATCAATCGAAGTGTTACTTTATTTTGAGGTTTAGGGTTTAGGAGTTTTAGGGTTTAGGGTTTAGGGGTTTAGTGGTTTAGGGGTTTAACGTTTCAGGGTTTAGGGGTTTAGGATTTAGGGGTGCTCTTGAAGTCGCACCTCGACGCAGTATCGCTTCGAGCCTGTAACCCGAAGCTTTCACGGTTCCATTTCTCCTCAGCATAATAGAGAGGCCTAAAAAATACCAATATCATTTTCATAGGGTTCCTTGTTACACCTATACTAAAAAGGAGCCCAAAATAACTCTCCTAACTATTACGGCCTCTACATTACCCCCCAAACCCTAAACCCTAAACCCCAAACCCCAAGCACGACACGATTCTTCTTCCTGCCAGGCCAACAGAACTGCAAAGGCTTTCAGCGTACCAGAGAAGTCTGCGAAGGCGGGAACCAGCGTAGGGTGTAGGGGTTTAGGGTTTAGAGTTTCTATAGGGGTTTAGCGTTCAGGGTTTGTATAGGGGTGAAGGGTTTAGGGGTTAGGGGTTTAGGGGTTTAGGGTTTAGGGTTTAGGGTTCTAGGGTTTAAGTTTTAGGGTGTAGGGCGTAACTTCGGAGCTAAGTATATTCTGCTACCAGGCCCCAAAGCCGAAAGCCACAGAATGACGGATCGCAGGACTTCAGTCAGGGGGGAACATAGGGTTGAGCACTTAATTCAGACCAAAACCCCTAATCCTGAAACGCTAACCCAGGGTGTTAGGGTTTAAGGTTTGGGGTTTACGCTTTAAGGCTAACCCCCTAAACCCCAAGCCCGAAACTAAACCCCTAAACCCCTAAACCCTAAACCCCAAATCCCAAACCCTAAATCCCCTGCTCGGCCAAACGCCCTGTGAAACAAATTCGTTGCCTCGTTCTCGGTCTGCGGATTCCGGGTTGCTCTGATGGGGGC